TGTCACTCTGATTGGTTAATAAAAAGCTGAGTAGCCAATAGCTAGGCAAGATTTCCAGGCACAGTGGAGTAAAACATGGCTTCCTAATCCAAGTCTCTCATGCAGACTGCAGTACAGAGATTCATTTTCCAGCACTGCTTGTGGGCTTGAGCCACCAGTGTGCCATGAGCTAAGCTGTGTGGTAGTTTAAGGTTTTCCTCATGCAGACAAAAGGTTACAGATGAGCCATAAAGCAGGTTGAGACAGAAAAAAAACTTTAAACAGGTTGCAGTATATTTAATAATGTGTGTAGGCTTAAGGGAAAAAAAAGAAAAGGGATATAAACAATCATAAAAATAGTTTAAAATAATAAAAAAGAAATAAAGTTAAAAAAAAGAATAAGCCACATAAGGATGAATAATATTATAACATAGAGAGTTTGGACCTTATATGGTGTTTTGTTAATTTTGAACTTTTTTAATGCTAATGAAAAGACAACAGCTGCTGAAAGACATTGGATTGTGGAAGGGACTGCTGAATTAAGCCAACCTATGTACGTTAGGAATACCTTAACTTTAAAATGGAGTAAAAAAAATGTATTACATTGGGGGAAGAGCTTATGCTATTGTTTCCACAGGAAATGAAAGGCTGTGGATTCTATCCAGGTTAATAGAGATCAGATTTGACCAGGGGAGACCTCCTGAGTATCTTTGCTACAGATATGGGGGAGGAAGCTAAGAAAGACTACAGGACATGTAACATGTAAGCTGATCTGTCTTCATGGGAACAGCTTGGAGGTGAGATGAGACATGATAAATCTTATTTACTACAGAGTCCTCATGACTTATTATTAGATGCCATCCTTTCATATGAATAGATAGAGATTTATATTACAGTTTGGTTATGCAGTTCAAATGGACTAATAAAGTTGAGAGATGCCTTTTACCTGCTAAAACATAGAACAAAAAATCATCTTTAACTGAACTGTACACACTGTACATTCCATAGTTGTGTTAACGTAGATATGTATGTTACCTTTAAAAGTTTGTGTATTTTCAGAGCACGGGTACCAGAAACCATTGAAAATGAGTGGCCCAGGTGATCTAGCTTCTTACAATGCCTCTGTTATGGTTTCCTCAGACTTTTGCATCCAGAACAGTTTCAAGGCTGCTAGCTGAAATGGTCCAGTCTCACAGACTACTCCAGCCCGGACTTCAGGTAAGCCCTGCATTATTCTATCACACTAAGACTGTATAACAGCTAGCTTCCCCAGGACGTTACCATTATCTTAATTTTCTCAGGGTCCCCTAAAGATGCCAGCACCCCCAGACATCAGGAAGCAGTCTAGAGAATACAATGCCCACATTTCCAAGAGGTCAGGTGGGTGTTTGGGGGCTGTTTGGTGGGTTATGGATGTTTGTCATCGTTTAGGGGGGTTGGTTAAAATTGTTACTGGTCATGGTCAGGGAGAAAGATAAATACAGAAGATTAGATTCAGGGATCTCTTTCTGCAGAAAAAAATGGGGTTATAGAATAGAAATTATGGGATAAAATGGTAGATTGTTGATTCTACTTTTGAACAACCACTAGTCTCAAATATTTTACATTGGTATGAAATTTTGTATATTGATACAAATTTAAAGTTATTTTGTTATACTGTATATATGTTTCTACTCTTGTTTAAGATATTGTATCTATATAGCTCATTTAAAAATATAATGTAAACTTTTAGTCCTTGAAAGCTATTTAGGATAGTAAATAAAAACAAGTTAATAGTTATCAATAACAATCAAACTTATAGTCATGTTAGGTATGTTTTCAAGGTCATACAGAGATATATTTTAGATAGATAGATTGTCTTCAAATTGTTCAGAGACCTAAAGAATATGGCTTTTAAATGTTTTAAAACATAGACTTTTATGAGAGTGAGACACATCTGCTCCTAGAAGCACCAATTTACTTCAGAAAAGAATGATGGGCATCAAAGAACCTCCATGTGGAATTTGCTTTCAGTATGGCAAAACTAGCTATCTAGGCAAGAAACTGCCCTTGCCTCAACTGCTGACACTATGTTGTCCAAATTGTACAAGTAGGACACACACATAAAAAAGTGACTGCCAAACTTTGCCAAGACAAGGTAGGACAGTCCTTCAAAATTCCTGCTTCACAAAAAAAGTCTGCTAGATATTGTAGCCCTGTAGGCCAAAGATGGACATCCCAATATTACAGAGGAACATTGGGTGACTGTCCAGGCAGTCATATGTCTTTGTCACTTCTATAGCTTTGGAAGTTGCTTGCTCTGTACTTCCTGTTTACTTAAGTAATACTTTATTGTCATTGAGTCTCTGATGGAATTGAAGATGAGATAGTTATAGAGACAATTTTTTTTGTTACAAAATTTTTAGAAAGTAAAAATTACAAAAGAGATGTGAAGTGTATAAGGTTTAGAGACATACAATCTTAAATTGTTTATCTAAAAAATGTCTTGAGGTCTTTAAAAAATAATTTTAAGATGGTAATACAAGTTATAATAAAAACTGGTTTAGGTATAAAACTTTAAATTCATCAAGATAAGATATATAATATTTTCTTTGGATATGTCAAATACAAATAGATTGGGCATTATGAATGTAATTCTTACCTGATAATTGTTCTTTTTATATACAATTTCATTTGTTAGAGATAATACCTTTCCTTTCAATTTAGATAATACCTGATAATTGTCCTTATTGTATATTGTTTTACTATGTTAAAGTTAAAACCTTTCCTTTTCATTTAGACAAAAAGGGGAAAATGTTGTGGAATAATCTTTTTATACAGTGTGAAGAGGTGTCACTATGATTGGTTTAATAAAAAGCTGAATGGTCAATAGCTAGGATTACTGGACAGAGAGGATGATGAGAAGAAGGAGGAGATGCCATTAATATGGAGGAAGCAGCATGGGCAGTACAGAGTAAAGGTAACCAAGCCACGTAAAAGAATTTACATTAAAAGGTATGGGTTAATTTAAGGTATAGGAGCTAGTTAGAAACAAGCCTAAGCTATCTACTGAGCTTTCAAAATTAATAATAATTATTAATTATATGTCATTATTGGGGAGCTGATGGTCCTGACAAAAACCTCCAGCTACACAGACACTGCACCACATTCACATCTCCAGTCCACTTTTATTTCTCATAATTATTCAAGTCAGGAGAGGCTGTCATGACAACGTTCAGCTGAAATATGCTCCCTGCCTAAGATAAATTGACTTAATTTTACACTTCCTGGTGGTCAAGTGAGTGTACAGATGTGAAAAGCATGAACAAACACATTTAAAAATATTAACTTATGGGGATATCTTTAAAAGGTCCTTTTATACCAAATGAAGTTTAAAAGCATATTTTATGATAATCTTTATAAACTTTGTTATTTAAAAAAACTGCAAATAATAAAAATGCAGTCATACAAAATTAACCAGACCCAAAGTCTATCCATCTCAGTGAGCTTCTAAATAGTTTAAATATATTTTGAAGGCATGGAGCTTCACATTGGATTTTACATTTTCAATATCAAATATATTTTTATACACATAATAAGTTAGAAAGAAGCTTTCATGTGCTGTCAAATATACTTTTAAACTTAATATAAGCAGATTCTTTTGGACACTTTTTAGGTGTGTGAAATGTTAATGAGCAGCACACACACACACACACACACACACACACACACACACACACACACAAAGGTCTTAACCCTGAACCCTGGTTCTGGCTTTCCCTTTCCCAGTTGTGCTTTTATAAAAAGCAAGAGAGAAATGAGCAGTCATACAGCATATCACAAGAAAGCACATATGCAAGCTGTGTTTTGGAGGCAAAGTTCTATTTTAGGTAATGCTCTAAACGTACACTTGTTCTGTAACATATTTTGCATTGATGGACACATATATTTCAATAAATGAAAGACTATATAAGATATGTTTGAGTAAGGATTAAATTGTGAGCCAATTAAAGATGAAATAAGTTTTCAGTTGAATAGTTTCCAGCTGCGTGTGGTGGTGCACACCTTTAATCCCAGCAGTAGGGAGGCAGAGGTGGGAGGATCTCTATGAGTTCAAGGCCAGCCTGGTCTACAGAGCCAGTCCTGAATAACCAGGGCTACACAAAGAAATCCTGTCTCGAAAACCCAAACTAAAACAAATAACAACAATAAAAACCAAAACCATAAATTTAACAGTTTTCTCCTTTGTGGCATTATTTAAAGGGACAGAGAAGAGCAAGAGAAAATTGGGAATATGGTTTATGAATATGAAGGTTATCCCAACTGCTATAGTAAAACCTGTGCATGTAAAGAGAATGAGGAACAAACAATACAAACATGTGAAATGTAGGCAGTGCTTCAGTCTCTCCACAAACATAGAGCTGAATGATGCTGTCAGAACAGAGTACCGGATGGCACAACACGAAAAAAATATCTATCAATTGTATAACACTTCTTAAGGATGACTTCGTGCATTTCCTTTTCCTTTGCAGCAGCTGTAGGTAGCTTAAAAGTGGCATAAAACTGCCTATCGGGAAACTCTTGCTACTTATTTTAGCAGCCAAAGCCTTCTGGAATAAGCTATGCTTTCATACTGTATATTATTACTTCCCCATGATTAGTATTAATTACAATTATCATATGAGTTGCACTGAAGTTTGGCTGTAAGAATCAATGCATAGGGTGAAACACAGTGTCCTGGCTAGTTTTATATCAACTTGGCACAAGCTAAAGTCATCTGAGAGGAGGGACCATCAGTTAAGAAAATGCCTCCATAAGATCAGGCTGTGGGAAAGCCTGTAGGGCATTTTCTTAATTATTTATTAAAGTGGGAGTGTCCAGCCTTTGTGGGTGGTGACATTCCTGGGCTGTCAGTAAGCAACAGCCCTCCATAGCTTCTGCCTCCGCTCCTGTCTCCAGGTTCCTGTCCGATTTGAGTTCCTGTCCTGGCTTTCTTCAGAGATGAACGGCAATGTGGAAGTGTAAGCCAAATAAACCCTTTCCTCCCCAACTCACTTTTTTGGTCATGGTGTTTTGTTGTAGAATAGAACCCCTAACTAAGATACATGGTAACTCAAAATCTTCAACATGTTACTGTATGTCTGAAGATAAAGTCTCTGAAAAGAAGAAAGCAGTCTTCTGAAAGTCAGAACTGCAGTCTTTCAAGTCCAACCATCCTCACATCCATTGTAAGTGATGTCAGAGTCCTGGGTGTTGCTAGCACATGGTCTTGGTGAGACGGCTTCTGTTCTAGATTTTTCAAACAGCATAACAGTTCCATTCTCAGGCATGAAGCCTTATTAGTGTCCATAAATATTGTCATCTTATTTCTTAAATATTAACCTATTTATTTATTCATTTATGTATTTGTGTATTTGATTTTTTGAGACAGGGTTTCTCTGTCTAGTTATGGTGCCTGTCCTGGATCTTGCTCTGTAGACCAGGCTGTCCTCAAACTCACAGAGATCCTCCTGGCTCTGCCTACTGAGTGCTGGGATTAAAGGTGTGTGCCACCACTGCCTGGCTACTAAGCTCTTTATAAGTGGCACAGATATTGGATAGTTGCTATCAAATTTGAGTTTTCTGAAATATTTTGAAACTTTGGACAAAGAATGAAATTTCCAATCCAGCTTCTATGTTTGTCTTGAAATATTAGGAATACCTTTTCCATTGCTTATAAAAATAGCTTGACATGCAAAGTGTGACTCTCAGAAACACTCAAAGGGGATGAAAGTCTATTCAAGGACCTTTAAAAGCTCCTACCTACACTGAGTATGCAGATGTTACTCTTAGGAGTAGTGCTGACTTCTGCAACTGCTCCACTGTAGTTCATGACATGACTGTGGTCTGCTGTTCTATAAGCATCAACATTTCTCAGTGGCCTGTATTTTTATGCCTTGGTGGGGTAATACTTGTAGAAAAGGTAATTTATTTCTATTTTGAATAATAACAAAGATTTCTTTGTCTTCAAGAAGACAGCAATAGATCTGTTTAAACTTTGTCTTCTTGGAAAATAGTAAAGTCATTTACTCGAGTGCCAAAGACAAGGTATACCAACTGAGCAAGTACCAGGAAGACAAGAACTCAACGGTCAAGCCAAATATGTCTCTGACACACAAAGACATAATTGTTGAGAGCTGGTTCATTGTCCTGTAAAAATTATGAACTTGAAGAACTGTAAAAGAGAAGACATGAACTGGTGAATGGATACTTGCAATGTAGCATATATATATATATATACATACATATATATACATGCATACATATATATATATATATATATGTATCTCAGAATATAATCTGGCCACAAAAGGAAAGGAATTTTGATATGTGCTGTGACATGAACTTGAAAACATTGTGTCAAGTGAAATAAACTAAATTTAACCAAATAAATACTCAGAGTAGTCAGATTAATAGATGGTAGAGTAGAAGTCACTAGAGTCCAGGGTGAAGGAAAATAGGAAGCTTGTTCTGATGAATGCAGTGTGTCATTTTAGGATTACAGAAAGGTGGCAGTGCACGGTGGTGATTTCACAGCACTCTAAGCATGCTTCATGGACTGCACACTTGAAAAGGATGAGATGGTAGATTCCATGCTATGAATATTTACCTCAGTAAAGAGAGAAGGAGGCTGGAAATGTAGCATGGAAGAGATGTCATTCTCCAGCACTATGTACATTAGATATGATGCCACACACCTGCAATCCCACCACTCAGGAGGTAGAGGCAAGAGGATAGGGCATTCAAGGTCATTCTCAGTTTCATAGAAAGTTCAAGTCCAACCAAGAATACAGGAGATCCTATCTCAAAAACAAACAACCCAACAAAAAATAGTACAAAAATGCCAGGGAAATGAAAGTGGGAGGAAAGACATGTATTTGTTTTCTTTTTTTCAAACCCAGGGACTTCTGTCCTCTCATTCAAAAACAGTTTACTGAATGACCAGTACATGACCAGTACAAATAAGCAGTGGAAACAACAAAGCCTCTACCTCAGATAACTTGCATTTTCCACTGAGAATTAAAATATAGTGAATTTGGACTTAGTCACAAGTAGATGCATGGAAGGATGCTCCAATGGTTAAAATCTGTTAGCGTGCATGGTACTTACACAAATTGACACCTGGTGACACCCTTCTCCGATCTGCTAAAATGAAGGAGAGAAAAATCCTAACAAAAACTAAAATAATTTCAGAAAATACCTATTGTGTATTATTAATGTCATTTTATGAATCCAAAACTATGCAAACACAGCTTCAATAACTGCCTGAATCTTCATAACCACCAACATGTTTGTATTCTGTGCCCAGGAGTTAGGGTGGAAGCTGAGAGTGGAGCCTGACTGCCCCACTGAGCACAGCTGTGGACAGCAGGCTTCGAACAGCTGCCCAGCCTGGACCATGAGCTGGCCAAAAGTCAGGACTGCACAGCTCTGCATAGAATCTCCGTTGGAAGAGAACATAAGAGGTAGTGGAATAAGTGGAGGAAGGATTAAGAGCGCATGCCTGCGGTGGCACACACCTTTGATCCCAGCACTTGGGAGGCAGAGCCAGGCAGATCTCTGTGAGATCTCTGTGAGTTCAAGGCCAGCCTGGTCTACAGAGCGAGATCCACAACAGGTACCAAAACTACATGGAGAAACCCTGTCTTGAAAACCCAAACCAAAAAAAAAAGTTTATGAAAGCAAAGCAATCAAAATACAACATCCCAAGGCAGTTGTCAGAAAGAAATGTATAGAAATTTCTTTCTCTGTCTCATAATTTGTTCTTGTCCATAGGAGACTTGTCCTGAGGGCTAAGATAATTCAATATGACTTACGGCTATTTGTTTGCTTTCCAGTTGTTTTCATCTTTTTAGCTTATCACTTTTTAAAGTCAAATGAGGAGTTGCTGTGTTTATTTCAAAGTTCAGGCTTGGGAATGATGTAAGGATGTGGCCTGTGAAAATCAGAGTAACTGTGAGGATCAGTCATCTTTTCATTCTCCCAAGTACATTTAGGAGAACTGTAACCCTGACTTCCTTATTTAAAATATGATAAAAAGAAAGGGTTCATTTGAAGGTTTTTATATGTGGTAAATTTAAAATTCAAATTCTTTAGGAATTAGTGCTATAATTTTTAAAATGTCCTTTCTGAGAAAGCCCAGTATCTCTTTCTTTTTGTATCTATCTAATTTTTTCTTTTGTTTTTGAGATTCTAATATAATTACATCATTTTTACTGTTCTACGATAAAGCTTTGATACTCTTCCAGTGGCTTCTCTTTGAACAAGCGAGCCTGCACATGAACAAATACCACAAGACATAAGGTGTGGTCTGTGCTCTGTGGACAATCTCAGGATTTCCAGGAGTAAACAATTCGGAAAACACATGGCCATTGGCAGGTCTACAGCAGCAGCTCCAGCTACCTTTCTGTGACAGTGAAACTCATCTGTTGTCTCCATCTTCTGATGCTGAAGACAAATGGACCATTAAAAATGTGGCTGGTGGGACCGAAGAACCAATCTTCAATTATATCCCATTTTTATTTAAATATAAATGTGCACATCACATGTGACCAGCAACAATCAAAATCCAAGCTGGTGAAAGGTTGGTGGCTGCCTCAGAATGGCTGGATTTCCTGCGTTTCTGGAGTGATGGTTCCCAGTCTGTGAGATTCCCCCATTCTTTCTCACACATGGAACTGCACAGCAAACGTGGATACAAGGAAGAAGTGAATGGGTGAGGTGTGACTCAAGTGTTTCTGATGCAATCTCACTTCTGGGTAGTACTTCCTCTGGCCTCATCCTGGAAAGATGAGGTTCTTCCAGTGAATGTTCCTGGTGTGGCATCCTGTCTTCCTCTTCCTTAGAGTTCCTTTCCCTCACCTATTCACCTCATATCAGGTGAAACTGGGACTTGGCCTACAACCAGACTAGGGGACTGACTAAGAAGGCTTCTCATTTTGTGTTCAATAATGTGGACAGCAGGAGAGGAAGCATCATCCACCAAGAGGGGTGTGTTCACACAAACTACACTCCGTCCCTTAACACCACTATGGAACAGCTTTGACTGGCCACTTGAATTTGACCCTGAAAGAAAATCCTCTAATGCCTTACATGGCTTGTATTAATTAAAAGAAAGAAAAAAAATATTAAGTCCACAAAATGGCATTGTATAAAACAGCTTAATCCAGATAAAAACACAATGAGGAATTGTGCTACTCAACTGTATTTGCCGGTGTGCCAAATGCTCAATGTTCAAGCAACTATACTTGTCAGATTACAGACCCCATAGGTGTTGTCCCCTCTCTTTCTCCCAACTCAGTCAGACCACACCACCTGCATCCTTTCTAATCTTTCCTGTCTTCACCAAAGACAGGCTATCCATATACACAGCACCAGTGGGGATAAACAAGTAAATTTTTGAGTACAGTTTGCCCTTAAGAAACTTACATTCTGGTTCAAGGTCTCACAATGATAACTACAAAAAAAATTAACTATGGAGTAGCATTATACAAAATAAGATGACAGATGAAACTAGACGTATTAAAAGGAGCACATATAAACGGAAGGAAGGAATGAGCGTGGTCTTAAATGATGGTTCTGTGTGGCACAAAAAGGTAATCATTAATCTGAAGAAGATAAGACTTTGCACAAACAATGTGAGAGTCAAGCATTTCCCATGTGGTCATTTCTGGTTTCTGTATCTTTAACTTGGGAGCAAATACTTTTCATTTAAAAAGCCAAACTCACTCTTTGTTTTTGTTTTGTTTAATCTAGGCAGACTTTTCCAAGCCAATCTTATGTTTTGTCCTGGTGGTGAGAATATTTTCCTTGTGTTTTCTGGGATACACACACACACACACACACACACACACACACACACACAAAACATAAGATAGGGAGAAAGAGAGAGTAAGGAAAGAATTTTACTATATGTCTTAGGCAGCAGAGAACCAATGAAGATGCTTGTTTGAGACTCACCTAATGGGGTTAACCCTGTCTCGAAAAAAAAAAAAAAAAAAAAAAAAAAAAAAAAAAAAAAAAAAAAAAGGTCCTCTTACATAGATTCAGCTGAGGGGACAAAGAGGCTGGGCTGGTTGAACAAATCAAATCCAATCATCACCCAGCTCCAATGAGGCACAGTTTGCCATCTAGGCCACGTTATACTCTGCACAGGACAAATGTTTTGAAAAATAATGTAACTGGTGGTCATTTGTTTAATATCATATTAGTACATTATATTTCTCCAAAATAGGGAGTGACGGAAAAGAGATGAGATCTTGCAAGCATATGGTTATCTAGCACTCCTGATTGTCTTTGACATTCTCATCTTTAACCAAAGTGTTTTTTTTTCCCCAACCAGAACATGAGCAGGGTAGGAATTTTGTTTGTTTTGTTACTTCAGTATCTGACTTGTTCGGAGCTGTGTTAAGTACAGAGTACTCAGGAAACATTTGTTGAATAAAGTAATTGACTTCATTCAGTAAAGCCAAGCAATCAATATTATTTGAATTCAAACTGTAAAGTCATCTTTTCTCTGCTAGTTTTAAAAGGACAAATGGCTAACTTGGTGCAAGCCTGTGTCCTTCAGAATATTTTGTGAAGAAGTGAAATGGAAAAGCGGAGAAACAGTCTCATTTTAATTTCAGAACTATGCTGGCCAATGGACAGGGCTGTACTTCGGGGCAAGCAGCAAGCATACCCTTACTTGCAGTTTATTAGAGAAAGTTTCAAAGCAGATGTGGGATGGAGGGGTGCGCCTCAGATTTTTGTGGAAGAATGCTCAACATTGTATCTCCTCAACCCAGAGTTAAACCAAAATAAAATGTCAAGGGAGGCAGGGTTTCAATGAAATGTTTGCAAAAATGCTTTGGCTGCTGAGCCAAAGGAATTAAGCCCAAACTCTGTGGTACCATCAGCTATTTCCCACGAAATAGCTGTCCCGTTTTAAGTGAGTGCAGGCCACTCGCCGGTGTGTGAGAAGTGAGCCTGTAGTCAAATGGCTGGGCAGTATTGGGGTTCTGTTTGTATTAATATGGAGCTGTCTCTTTAAAAATGTGAGCATGTGTGTGCTTTTACAGCTACACCTGTTATGCTAACACACATGGTCTCCTTCAAGGGGAGTTTGGCTAGTGAATGGTTAGTTTGGATGGGCAAAAATTCACCAGAATTCCTCTCTCAGCTCTTCTTTTCCATCCTTCCTATGAGGGACCCTGATCTCTGTGGCTTATAAAAAGAAATACATTCATGTTAGCTTATTAAAACAAAATTGTCTAAGTATTGACTGTCGGCATGCCCAATCAATTTCATGGCTTCCTTCCGAAATCCAGTCTTGTGGTCTCATGAGGATGATGTGCACAGAATCCCCTCCCCACCCCCATGGTGTATAGGGTCTCACCCTTCTATAGTGATCTTGGTGGGTTGTCCCTGGTTTCACTGATGAAGTCTCTGTTCTTCTCTGCCCTGTCCCATCTTTAAAGCTGACTTCCACAGACTCTGTACCCTGAGATCCTTGCTCTTTTGAGCACAAGGGAGGAATGTGTGTGTGTGTGTGGGGGGGGTGTCTGGTTTATTTCCTTCATCCTTAGGCTCCATCCTTTCACATTCTGAATGCAAAATGCAAGCTGGCCACAATGGCTGGGCGGATTTCCTTTCCTGTAACTATACCGGGTTCCCACCATGCTCTCCCCTCTCCTGGTCCTCAGGCTCTGAAGGTAGTAACTCCTCCAAGTGACTTACTATCCTACAGGGTTCCTCAGCCTTCCACATCCATACGAATAGTTTTTTCATTTAGTTTGCTTTTTGCTCATTATCTCTCTCCTACCAAAAGGCCAATGGCCTATCAGCTTCCTACTTGACAACCAATCCTATGTGGATCCTTCTAACCCAAGGTTTCCTACTGCTTTGAAAAATCACTGATAATACTAAATGCAGTAGGAAGGATAATTAATTTAAAGATCAGGTCTCACTGTTGGTCATGCTCCTCACTACCTGTGTGACCTAGGTGGGTTACTTCGACTCAATTTACTCTTCTGTAAGATAGGATAATTAGCTAGATAGTTAAGAAATGTCCACTCAGGGCTGGAGAGACGGCACAGCAGTTAAGAGTACATACTGCTCTTGTAGAGGACCTGGGTCCAGTTCCAAGCATCTGCATGGTGGCTCACAGCCATCCTTAACTCTATCTAGTTCCAGGGGATCCAACTCCTCTTCTGACCTCCACAGACACTATGTGCATGTGGTGTACGTACATACACTCAGTCGCACATACATATGTTTGAAACAAAATAAATATTTAAGAATGTCCACCATGGATACTTCTTCCTCCCTGACTGCCTTGCTAGAGCAGATCTGTGACATGCCACACTGGCTACAATTAGTTGGTTAGAAGCTGTACAGGGAATGAGTATGTTTTATGTTACTCTTTTTTTTTCTGCAGAATTGGGAATAGAACCAGGACTTCACACTTTAAACATTCTAGGCAAGTGCTCCGTGGTGAGCTCCACCTCTAGCTTATATTTCTTTTGAACATAGTTCAGTGAGTCTAGCAAGTGATTAACGTTTGCCTGTTTCTATCACAGCCTCAACTGTCATAAAATATCTATTAAACCTATATTAAATTACTTAGGAAGTAAGTGCTATTTTTCAAAACAGTCCCTTATATAGCCTTCTTTGCCTTTCAACATCATAGAAGTTAAATTTAAGGGTGCTAAAGAAAAGAAGGACATGGGGGTTTATTTGAAGCAGTCAAATAAACTTATAGGCAGCACATATCTTAGTACACACAGCTTGGGTAACACCAAGAGGGTATCAGGACTTCTACTCATCTGTCATCCTGTCACTCAAAGTGACATAAAGTTCCCACATCCATGTTTGCCAGCTGCTGCCTTCCACCTGCCATTGTGGACTCTAAACCTCTGAAAACATAAGGCCAAATGTACCTTTTCTTTTCTAAGTTGCCTCGGTCATGGTCATTGCTTTATCACAGCAATAGAGAAGTTATTAATACAGATGGACACAAGTAAAAAGCCTTCCATAGAGGCCTTTTGTGGGGCCAGAATCAATATGGCAGACAAAGCCAACATGGGAAACTAAGGAGTGAAGTGTCCTCTGTGCCAAACTACACGCCTAAGTTGATTGTTTTACACTAGAGTGAAATCAAGGGGGCTTTTGGATGGAGTCATTCATAAAGACCATCCCAAAGGAGTTTTTGTTGTTGTTTACTGTTGAAATAGAGGTAAATTATTTAAAATTGTGACTTCTCAGTTTATAAATACACATAAATTTTAGCCCTTGATATAAAAAATGTTTCTTTGACAAGGAATGACGGTACATGCCTGTAATCCCAGTACTCAAGGGGCTGAGACATGCAATTTGCAAGCTCTAGGCTAGCTTGAGCTGTGTATGTGTGTTGTGTATGTGGAGTGTGGGGGGGGGCATTGCCTTCATTTTCTTATTGTGCTTTAAGAATCAGTGCTGGCTTCTGCTGCTGAAACTCTTAGGCTAAGCACTGGGTGGTCACTGCTTTCTTCCAGAGACAGATTCCCTTTGTTGTACAGCACACTCTGCTGGACGGTGGGGGAACAGGGTCCCTAGTGTTTAGGATAAGCACTTGCAAGGAACTTCACATTAGCCAGCATGGATTTAATCTTTGCCCTGGGCCAGGCTCTGGCTATCTCATTTTCCAAAGAGTGACAGCTGTCCAGACCTGCTTCCGATTTGGCAGAGGTTCAAGTCCAAATTGGATGTGTGCAGTCAGGGGAGTGGAGGGGGGGCAAGAAGGAGGCTGATATTGTACACATTTTTATTCTTTATCAAAGCCCACACACACAAAAAAAAATTCCCAAAGGGAAAAGTCATTTATAATGAGACTCATTAAAAATGAAAGCAAAAAGCTGTCGGAGAAGTGTGGTCTGCAATTTCAAAATGCTGCAACTTTGTCGAACAGCAATGCTCTCCATGTGGTCCACACCAGACAGCTCTCCACACACCAGGAGTCCCTGCCCCAGAAGTCTGTGCAGACGGCAGGGCAGCTCGGTGTTCCCATGATCTGAGTTCAAGTTTCCACTGTTATTCTATCCTGTTTCAAGGGTTTGTGATTGTATCTTGGGACAAGTACTATTAAACTCTCCTAGGATTGAAGTTTAATGTCTAGAAAGGGAGAAAAACAGTTCCTTGGGCTTATTTAAAGATGTTTGCAACACTGTACAATGCCATGTAAACATGACCAGCACATCGCTTGTCTGAAAGAGAAAGCCCACTTGGAAGGTAGTGTTCATACTCTAGAAACAAACTGTAAAGACAAAGCAGGAATGCGTAGCAGACACTCTTAAATGAGGACGAGAAAACAGAGAAGACTATTGACCTGAACTAGGTGAAATTCAATTTACATACACAGTGTGCATAAATCTGCTATTTGGTTTTTATCTTAAACTCCATTTCTATTTTTGAAACAAAACAAAATACATTAAAAATACTAATAAGTAGCATGCAGACTAATAAAAGCTGCCTTCAAACATGGACCATCACTTAAAAAAGGTTATTGAATACTATTTTAATTCTTGATATTAATGAAAAATATAGATTTAATATCAAAAGCACATGCAGTACATTATGGACACTTATTTGTTGTAGAATTTCCAATCATTAGAACAAAAAATAAAGTAAAACACCTTTGACATGACAAAACAGAAGAAAATTAATAAAATTGGAAATTTTTAAAATGAGAGGAAAAATAAGACAATAGAATTGTTTAAGACACAAACTCTGAATGAGTTAAACTCTTACAGATAAAAAAGATTTGAAGTAATTAAATAAAAAGAAAAATGCATCTCTAGAATTCTTAAGAGAAACCCACTCCAACTAAATGAAGGAGAAAATATATGAGAG